CTCTTCCTAGCTCGGCCCAATTTGTTTACAAATTACCCTCTCAATAAAATATCATAAATATAACACTTTTAGAGTTTTTAATCTCAAAACAACTCCATAATCCCAACTAAGCAATTACACAATATTCATCTATATCAATTTATTTTTTTCAAAAATAAATTCCCAAAAAAAAAAAAAAAGAAATCAAAAGGTGAGATAATATTTCAACATTATTTTTCTCAACATAAATTATATAGTCATAATATGATGTAGATACAAATCATACAATTAATTAAATTTGTTTTTGGATTTTTAACAAATATTACCAATACTAGATGATTTTTCCAAATTAATTTCACAATACTAATGTTCTTAATATTTTTACATATTTTTTCTTCCAAAAATTATTCCAACAAAATCTAAGAATAATATATATGTATACCTCCTATAATAATATATTTTCTCAAAACATCCCTAATATGAATTTAAAGTAATAATATGAAGAAAGTCATTAGAAAGAGGAGCAAACCTTGAATATTTCTTATAGTTATTTTTTTATTATAATCAAATTTGGCTAAATCAGGTTGGGAATTTAGACATTTCTAAATTAAGAAGAGGTAATTACACCGAAATAAAATAATTTATAATTATAACTATTAATTATTTATAAAATTTCTCACTATTTTATAATTATTTTTTCAATAAAAAAGTGGCTGTAATTTAAACAAACATTTTAATGGAGACTCTCACATAGATAGATTATTATAACAACATTGTTATTTAAGACTAAAAAATATATTCAATTAGATTCATATTCTACATGTTTGGTTTAAGTTTTTTGAGTTATTTTTCCAAAAAATGATTTGAAAATCATGTTTTGAAAATAAGGTCCAGTTTGGTTACTCACAAAAACGTCAAAAAGTCAAAAAGTTATCACTATTCACCCCAAAAAATATTAAAAAATTAACATAAATACACAACCTTCCTTGTCAAACAACTCTGACGGCAGAGCAGCGAAGGTGACTTATGGGAAAAATTGCACTTATTTAGGTGTACAAATAATACGGTGTTGTTCGGCCTGTGGGGGCCCATCACGGGTCCCTTTTTAATAATCTGAACCGTTAAATGTGTAGAACTCGTCGAGTACTATATGCATATAAAAAATCACATTGATCAGATATCGGTAACTATATAATCAAATCAGTTAAAATTTATAAAATGAATGGTATCATAGTTAACGATTGAAAAAAAAAAATCCGATCAGATAGCTATCGATATTCGATCATCGTGATTTTTTACAAGAATATAGTACTCGACAAGTTCTACATATTGAACGGTTTTGATTAGCAAAACGGGACCCGTGGTGGGCCCCCACAGGCCGAACATCACCTCCAATTTAATGCCCGAAAAGCAAGGGATCATCTCCCAAACAACACTCTGTCGACGTTGTCCCTCAATTCAGCCTATTGTACAGTCTATTCCATCCAATCTTCTCCTATACACTAATTTATACAATTTTTTAATACACATTTTTTCATAAAAATTCAAAAAGTTATCCCAAACAACCATTTTTTCCCCTCAACTTTTTAGTTCAAAAAGACAAAAAGTGCACTTATTTAGGACACCCCAATATGTGTTTAGTTTTCAATAAAATTATTTGTAATTTCAAATTTCCCTCCACAATTGGACAGATAGATGGCTGCTTCTAGGATACATTTTAGGAAAAAATTAATAATTTGTCACATCAAAACTAGTCTCATGTTTGCATTATGTATGTACCGATTCTTGAATCTCTACTATAATAGAATATTCCTTTGGTATTTTCTCAGATTTTCTTTGAGATCTGGAGAAAGCTGTAATCAATAGGATTTTGCTAATCCTCCCTTCCCGAAAGGAAGACCGTGAAATTCTTTTTCCTTTCCGCAATGTCTTTCTATGGGGTCGCAAGTCTCTTTATTAGCGCCTATTTGTGGTGCATAATTTCATGGAATGTAGATAATGGTTATGATCAATTCGATAGAAAAGAGGGAATAGTAAGTACTCGATAAATTTTACATATTAAACGGTTTAGATTATCAAAATAAGACCTGTAATGAAATTCACAGATCCAACAATATTCTCTAATCCATTATATAAACTTTTTAATAAAATATTTAATCCCTAGCATTTTCCTATTCTACATGTTTGGTTTAAGTTTTTTGAGTTATTTTTTCAAAAAATGATTTGAAAATCATATTTTGAAAATAGATATATGTTTGTTTTTCAAAAAAATGCATTTGTAATTTCAAATTTTCCTCCACAATTGGACAGATAGAGGGCTGCTTCTGGGACACATTTAAGGGGGGGAAAAAATTATCACACCAAAACTAGTTTCATGTTTGCATTATGTATGAATGTACATGCTGTACGTGTAGTAAAAGAATTCCATGTTTACATTATGTATGCATGTATTTGGTTTGGATTTTCAAAATTTATTTTTCACAAAATTAAAATTTTTTGGGTGTGTTTGGTTTAGTTTTGGCAGATAAATTTTCAAAAAAATATCTTGGGAAAAGAGTTTTGAATTTTTTTTTGATTTATTTGGTTGTATATTATTTTTTAAGATTCAATTTGTTTTCATAAATGGTCAAAGTTATCCTTCCAATGTAAATATAAAATAAAAGGACTTTTTAAACACAGTTAGCCTTTGTTTGGCATAAATTAAAATGAGATTTTTTGGTTAAAATAATCACAAAAAGATCAAATAGATTTTTTAGTTCTATAAGATACAATGTCACATTCAAACTATAATCATTTTATTTTTTTCTCACAAAAAGTCAAAAAAGCTTGAAAAATTATTCCAAACGAGACTATATTTAGTAACAAATTAAAATACCTAAAAAGCTTAAAAGCTAATAAAAAGTCAATTCACATCCCAAACAAATCTTAAAAGAAATCCTAACCACGTAAAACAAATTTTTATTTTTATTTTTATTTTTATTTATCAGAACCATGTAAATCTTAACCATAGGGTTATTTGGGAAGTGGTAGATTAGTTTATTTTTTGACTTTTTATTAAAAAAAATGTAAAGTATGAATTGAATTTAAAAGCGTAAAAGCTAATAAAAAGTCAATTCACATCTCAAACAAATCTTAAAAGAAATCCTAACCACATAAAACAAATTTTTATTTTTATTTTTATTTATCAGAACCATGTAAATCTTAACCATAGGGTTATTTGGGAAGTGGTAGATTAGTTTATTTTTTGACTTTTTATAAAAAAA